AGGCCCAGGTGTCGGGCAATCTTTCGGCCCTCCTTTGGAGATCTTCTGACAGGAAGGGAGGGGCCACTAAGCTCCTCAGTCGTGCCCAGGCTGTGCTCCACCGGGCTGACCCTCTCTTTGAAGAACTCCCTCTTGAGGAGGGAAGCCCAGAGCCCGCCCACGAGGGGCATCACCGCTCTCCCGACTTTGTGCCGCATCGGGCCTCACGTCCTTTGGGCCTTCGGTTTCATTTCTTGCAGGTCGGCTCGTGTGCCACCTCCTTGTGTGACTCCTTAGCCTCGCGCGGCTGGGTCGTGGGCCCTATCCTCGACGTCGCTCTTTCTCCGCACTACGATTTATCGTGCCAGGTCTTTTTCTTGTGGCTCCTCCACATGCTGGAGACCGGGGGTGTCGATGCTGTGTACCTCCGACCCCCTGCGTCAACTTTTTCCCCGGCGGCAATACCGCCTCTTCGGTCTTATCATAAACCTTACGGCTCCTCGTCGGATCCCAGACTTCGGCTTGGCACCAAACTTGCCCTTGCGTCTCTGTGTCTCTTTGCCAGGGCGGCTCGTTTTGGGGCCCTTTGCCTTCTTGAGCAAACAGGCTCGAGCCTCATGAGGTTCCTCCCCTCGTGGGGTTGTGTGCGGAACAAGTGTCAGGTGCTTGAGGTCTTCACTTCAGTTGCTCCCCCGACCCCTCAGGCGCCTCGTCACTTCTGTTTCCTTGCTCACCGGCTTGCTGCAAAAGGTTTTGGCTCGGAGCCCTCAACGCCACCCTCGTTTTCTGCTCCACCTGGGGGCCTGAGTCACGGTGCCCTCTCTGCACCCCAGCTCTCCGAGGCCATTGCCAAGACTTTCTCTCGGGGCCTACAGAGGAAGCTCCAGGCAAAGCGCACCTTCGAGCTCGAACCCTATGGTCTGGAGAGCTTGTTGGTTAATGATGCCGCGTCTTCCTTGAGCTGGGCCCTCACCTCGGCTTGGAAATGGGACCACGAGTCCCACATAAATTGCTTGGAGTCCTCGGCTTTCCTTCGGCTCTGCTACCATAAGGCAAGGCAGGCACGGCCCTCAAGGTTTGCCTCCCTCATCGACTCGAATGTCGCGAGATGCGCTATCAGCAAGGGTCGTTCCCCCTCGAAGGCATTGATGAAGGTTCTCAGGCGCATCTCCGCGGTGTCTCTGGCATGTGGACTTTATAGTGCCTTGCCTTTCTGCCCCACCCGTTTGATGCCTGCCGATGCCCCTTCACGGGATGCTCCTCTTCTTCCTCCTCGGCCTGGGCCCAACCTTCTCTCTTCGTATCCCATCGACCCCCTTGCTGCGCTACCTCGCCTGCGCCGGTGGGCTGCCAACTGGGCGCGCCTCTGCCTCCTTGTGGTACCATGGATTTTCCCTTCGCCTGATGACCGGGATGCCCGCTTACCTTCCCTGACCTACGTTCCTCCTCCCTTCGACTTCGACTCTTCTTTAGGGTTTCCGGGTGAGGGTCCGTTCTTCAGGGTCTTTTGGTTGTGGGGTTTTAGCCTCGCACTGCTGAGCCATGGCACCCTTGAGCCTAGGAACCCAGGCGATGTTCAGCGCCAAAGGTTCCGAACTGAGCGCCCTCTGCCTGAAGGCCGCCCTGTCGAGGCCATCACCCAGAAGAACCGAGACAAGCTTTGGGAAAGCTTCAGGGCCTGGTCAGAAGAGCAGGGGGTCCCGGATGACTTGTTTTCTGAGGCCTCCCTGCCAGACATCGACAGCATCAACGCCGTGTTGGCTAGATATGGCAGGATGCTTTATAAAGCGGGGAGGCCCTACAACCACTATTCCGAGACAGTGAACGCCCTGGCCTCAAAGTTCCCCCGCCTTCGACGACTGCTGCAACCGGCTTGGGATGTTGCCTTTCAGTGGCAGCGTTTGGAGCCGCATGTGCACCACCAGGCCATGCCTTGGCAGATTTTAGCTGCTGTTCTTGCCGCTGCTCTTTGCTGGGGCTGGCCCGAAGTTGCTGGCATAGTCGCTCTTTCCTGGGGTGGCCTAGCCAGGATTGGCGAGATCTTTGCGGCTTACAGAAGAGATTTAGTTCTGCCTGCCGACGTCGGGGAGGAGCAGGAGAACGTCCTCCTCTCCATTCGCGAGCCCAAGACCCGAAATACAGCAGCCCGTCACCAAGCCCTCAAGGTTGATCAACCACAGCTTGTCCAGACCATTATCCTGGCTTTCAGTAACTTGACCAAGGATCAGCGCCTGTGGCCCTGGTCCCCGGCCACCTTCAGGTCTCGTTTTGCTAAGCTCCTGGGTGCCCTTTCGCTGGACAAGCTCGAGGATTCTTCGATCAAACCCTTCGACCTCGGCTCTCTCAGAGCGGGAGGGGCAACATGGCTACTGCAAGTCTCAGAGGACGGCGAACTGGTACGTCGCCGCGGCAGGTGGATAAACCACAAGGTCATGGAGATTTACATCCAAGAGGTCAG